ATAAAGACAAAAGTAAAACTTATGTTTAACAATGTGTTTCATCCTCTTATGGACTTTATCAAGGCAAATGTAAAGGTTTTATTTTGCATCAAGTACTTATAAACAGAATTGAAAAATATTGTTGAGTTTTCAAAATGTTTAAATTTAAGGACACTCATAAATATACTTCAGGCTGTGAAATTCAAGGTAAATTATGGAAGATGCTAAGTGATGTAATTTAATGCCTAACAGACAAAAGTGACTGTTTATATATTTGAAATAATAACAACTTAAATTGCAATATTAGCTCTGGTAAAAACATGCAATGATAATAGCAAAAATTGCAATATGAGCACTGGTAAAAAACGGTTGCTGAAGGTTTATAATAGTCAGAACTTCATACACAGATGTCCTTAAGGTGTTAGTTAGATCCAGTGACAGGACCCAAAGAGTGTGAGTTCAATACCCTGTTAAGGCAGTGGAGAACTTGGAGATGGGAATTAACCGGAAATAACTGATAACTGACATCCATTAGATATGGCACGTGGAATTAGAACAGTCTACCCCAGTAAGCAAAATAAAGGGTTCAGTTTGACATTCCAACCACCTGAAGAAGGACGGAGTGTACAACGGCCAAAATGTTGTGATAAATATGGCGACAAAGATGATGACAATAGTCTGAATAATTTAAATAGTGGAGACAAAAATGAGTTACTGTTGTCAAATTTTTTGTTATACATTGATTTACTTTTTATTATTAATGTCATTGTTATTTATTATTTTATTTTAATTTGATGAATTATTTATGTTTTTATTTATTTTAAATTTTAGAAAATTTCAATTTATCTGTTTTCTTTTAATTTTTAAAATATTTTTATGGCCATGTATGTTAGCCTGGGAAAGGAGTATATCTCTTTAGACTATTTACATTGTTCAAACTGTTTTCCTCATCTTTGTTGCCATTTTCACAACGTTTTGGTTGTTGTATGTGCTGGTCTTCAGGTGATTGGAATTTTGAACTGAACCATTTATTTCATTCACCATGGGGAGATTGTTCTAGTTCCACATGCCATGCCTTTTCCAGATGTCTCGGTATCAGTTATTTCATTTTCCAAGTTTTCGTTCTGCTCAAACTGAAACTGTAGCCAGGTATTGAACTCACAACTCATTGGGTCAAGTCACTGAATTCAACCAATGCTTTTATCCACTTGGTTATGTGCCCTTGAGTTCCTCAAGGATACATTACAATACCTCATCTCAGAAATACAGACAGATATAGGATTATATCTTTTAGGAAAGGAGATATTTGAAAAAAAGTGGGGTGCAATTTTATATTTTGGCAAGATTTGATAAAGGCATTCTCAAGAACTTACCGTCTAAGTTTTTCTCTATTTTTTTTGTCTTTATTCATAAATGGATATATATATATATATATATATATATATATATATATATATATATATATATATATATATATATAAAAAGAAAATTGGATGAATGAGTAGGTACAGAGCTGTAAACAAAGAAAAACATACCAAAATTGATAGGTATGCACAAACAGGAAGATATAAAGTTACACAGATACATCCACATAGTCAGATTTAAGTAAAACAATATTCACATTTCCCACTACTTCAAACAAAAGGTTAGGAAGTAAACCCCTATCAATACTAGAATGAGTGATAACAGCTTCTGGATTTGAGAAACTTATTTTCCAGACAAATTATTTTAAAGAAAGATTTTATAAATTTTAAACAAAAGCAATACTGGCAGCTCAGTCAATGAATGCCAAATATTTCCTTATAGGGAAACGGCTAATATTACCAGTACTATTACATTTGGTCAGATTTTAGTAGAAAGACACAAAGTTGAATAAAGATGTCAAAGGTCTTATGGTCATTTTGAATACAGATCTGAAGGCTTAAGTCATGGGTATTAAGGTCTGAAATAGAAATCTTAAATTATCTGTTAATGCCCCACTTATCAAAATTACTTTGCTTTTGGACAGGTTTCTCCTGCTATCTAAAATGGCATATTAAATGGAGCAGCATTTACTTTTAAACAATAAGGGTAAACATATTGAACATTTCCAGAGCCACCACCTAAATAACCATCTTCTCTACTAGCTTTTCATTGATGTTGAGGGTCAAGTTTCATCATCTGCTGTAGTTGATGTGCGAGGTGTGATATAAGACAGTATAGTTAATTGCAAATCCTCACACACTTTTTTTCTATCATGTAACAATATTCTTCTATGTGACATGTCTCTTTATGATCACAATCTTCTTCTATGTGACATGTCTCTTTATGATCACAATCTCCTATTCCCCTGAAGACCCTTAGCAATGTTTGTCATTTTGCCAAAGGCCTCTCAACCATCTATTCAGCCATCCATTCATATGAGCTCATCAGGTAGGAATCCCAATGACTTATCCTGCCTCTTTTTCTTTCAATATATGCTGTGAGTGTCAAATTCTCCAAGCCCTCTTTTCTCACTATTTGACCTAGAAATTTCAACTGTCTCTTCCTTATTCTGAATGTCTTTTTTGTTTCCATTTTCCTTAAGACTTTCTTGTTGCTTACTCATTCCATCCATGGTATTCCCAGCATCCTTCTGTGGAACTACATTTCTAAGGCCACCAGCCTTTTCTTCATCTGTAATGAGATTATCCAGTATTCACTGCCATAAAAGAGGATTGACATTACACAGCAGTTCAGTTCTGTTTTCTTTGTTTCTAACAAAATTTTCCTGTTTCTTATTACTTTGCTTAGCTTTTTGAATGTATCTTTTGCTAAACCAATGTGTGTTTGGATTTCAGGGTTGCATTTTCCATTCTCTGTTAAAACACTTCCCAGATATTTAAACTTCTGTACTTGTTTGATGTTGCCATCCCAGCTTATAGTTCACATCTTAAGTTTTTTCTCTTGCTTACAGCCATACGATTCTTTATAAGCCCTAAAAAACCTTGTGAATTTGCCCTAAGTCTACATACCCTTTCAAGGACATGTATTTCCACAATATGTAAATTACCTGCAATAATGACAGTGAAAATCTCATGCAAGATTACTTTTTGTGGTGTTGGAAAACTCAAATATGAATTAATAATAATCGCTTCTCTGTTTTACACCATTTTGGTTAATGGAGGTTTTTTAAAACAATTCTCTAATTTTGCATAATGAAAGAAACCTGCATTGGAATTTTTGTGGGGTGGAGCAACAAAGTAACAGGCTCTTTAAATAAGTTTAAGCTCTCATTTGGATGAATAAAAAAATGGTGGAAATTAGATGAACAAAATAAAACAAAAACAAATACACTTACCACAACAAAGCAAAAAGAAAATCTATCTAAAGTTGTCCAGAGAACACAAAATCTATCTAAAGTTGCCCAGAAAAGATGAAATCTATCTAAAGTTGCCCAGAGAACAGGAAATCTATCTAAAGTTGCCCAGAAAAGATGAAATGTATCTAAAGTTGCCCAGAGAACAGAAAAACTAAAGTTGCCCAGTGAACAGGATATCTATCTATCTAAAGTTTCCCAGAGAACAGGAAATCTATTTAAAGTTGCCCTGAGTACAAAAGATCTATCTTCTGAAGTTACCTAGAGAGCAGAAAAGCTATGTAAAGTTTCTCCGAGAATAGAAAATTCTTCAAAATACATACACACATATAAGCGTAAAAAACAAGACATTAGAAATTGAACAATTATATACAGACACTGACAAAGCAATGTAACAAGTAAATAACTAAAGATAAGTAAAGATATAGATAAAAACAATTAAAACAGTTAAATAATTAAATGAAAAATATAACAAAAATTGATTTAAATTTGTTTTTACATATAAAGTAAAATATATTATGTGCAATTTTTTGTCCATATATTTAAAAATTATGGACCATTCTTACTAATGCCATACAACAATTAAAGAATTTTTTTCTTACATCTTTCTGATATTTGAAATACTGGCCAACTGGAGTGAACAAGCCACTAATGTGCATATATATATATATATATATATATATATATATATATATATATATATATACACACAAAAAATTGATTTTTTATTTGCTCTTTTAAAAATCATACTCCAGACATCCCACAAAAGTCAACTTAAATAAAAGAAATTGTCATTTGTTTTAAAGAAAACAATAAAAAATAAAAATAAAAAACAAAAAAAAACATGTTTTCAAAATTTGTTGTTTTTCTTTTTTTTGTTTCTGTGAAAAAAAAAAATTAAAATTTGAATTTTTGGAAGAGTGAGGAGGGACATATTCATTCAAATGTGTTGTACAAAAGAAAACAGTTAATTTTTTTTTTTATTTTAGTGAAGAACAGAGAAGAAAAAAATTTCTTTAATTTCTTCTTAAAAAAAAAAATTTTTTAAAAATCATTTTTTTTTTTCTCCCAAAATGATTTACCAAAAAGTTGACAAAAAAATACTTATTTATAAAAATGGACACATATACATAAAAAATATATTCATCTTTGAATATATTTCTGTATCTGTAAATATATACATACACACATATAATTACCTAAGAAAATATGCAAATATATATATATATATATATATATATATATATATATATATATGTAATATAGATAATAGTATTATTTGATAATCTGCATGGATAATTCCAAAGAGGATATAAATCCAAAGAGAGCTCAATGTAAGAACAGAGCAAATGATAATTATAAAGAAAGTCTCCACTTTCATAATTATATATATATATATATATATATATATATATATATATATATATAATGCTTGTGTGTTTGGAAATGGGATTTATTTGTACCCAAAGTATATGAAAGAAATCTTTATGAATTTATTGCGACAAGTACCCATGTTATATGTTTCAAATGAAAACAAAACTATTTTCATATTCAATGGTACAACTCTCTGATCATCAGCAGGCAATTTAACCTGCATTTTTTGCACCAAAAGCAAAAAATAAAATCACATAGATTGTGCCATAAAAATATTGAAAATTTTTGCACATGGAACAAGGAAGAATTTTTAAAATAAATTAATAAACAGAGAAGAAAATAGAAACAAAAAAACAGAAATAAACAAACAAAAAAAGAAAAGCAGCAAAAAGATAACAGAAAAAGAAAATAGAAAAAGAAGGAATGGAAAAGGACGAAAAAGAAAAACCTGATAAGGCTTAAAAAAAAGAAAACAGAAAATAAAACAATAAAAAAAGGAAAGAGAAAAAGAAAAGCAGAAAAACAGAAAAATGGAAATAGAAAAAAAAGAAGGAATTGCTAAAAGAAAGAAAAAGAAAAAAGAAAAAGAAAAAATGAAACAGAAAAAGAAGAGAGATAAAAGAAAATGAAAAAAAAATAAAAATAGAAAATGCAGTAAAAAAATTAAAATATTAAAAAAGTAAAAGAGTAAAAAAGAAAAAGAGTAAAAAAAGAAAAAGAATAGAAAAGAAAAAGAGTATAAAAGAAAAAGAGTAAAAAAAGTAAAAGAGTAAAAAAAAGAAAAAGAGTAAAAAAAAAAAAGAGTAAAAAAAGCAAAAGAATAAAAAAAAGAAAAAGAGTAAAAAAGAAAAAAAAAGAAAAAAGAAAAAGAGTAAAAAAAGAAAAAAAGTAAAAAAAAGAAAAAGAGTAAAAAAGAAAAAAAAGAAAAAAGAAAAAGAGTAAAAAAAGAAAAAGAATCAAATAAAGAAAAAGAGTAAAAAGGATAAAAAAAAGAGTAAAAAAAAAGAAAAAGATAAAAAAGTAAAAAATGTAAGAGTAAAATAACATAGAAAAAAACCACAGAAGTAATAATATATAAAACAAAAAAATGAAAAAAAAAACAGAAAAAGAAACAAAGAAAAGACAAAGATGAAGATACAAGCCCCAATTGCCCTTGAAAAAAAATAAAGAATTTTTTTTTATTTCTAGTCAATTTGAATCAATTCATTAAATCATAATGATTTCTTTCAGTAGTTTCTTCAAAGGATACAAGGGATGGCCCTATTCCAAAAGATTTCATTTTATTGCATAAAAATTAGGGTAAAAAAAAGAGATTATTAAATTAATAGGCGGTGGGTGCAATTCACTCATTACAAATAATTCATTTCTTATTCAGTCTTCAGAGCACACACACACACACACACACACACACACACACACACACACACACACACACACACATACACATATATATATATATATAAAGAATTTTTATTATTTCAAACATTTTATTCTATATTTTTAGTGGATATGCTTTAATTTAAAAAAAAAAATAGGGAATATTTTGCATTATTAAGTTTTTGGGAGTGTGCAACCCCATAAACTTAATAATGTGACATGTGTTTGAATTTTGCTGGAGGGTACATTTTCTTCAGTATGCACTCTGGTAGACAAAATAAACATTGTTTAAAAAAAAAAAAGACTGTCTACTCAAATACAGGTATTGAATAAAAATGACATCTGAAATAATAAAAATATTTCAGAATAAAAAAAAATCCATTAATTCTTTGAAATACATATATATTAATATATTTTTTGTTTATATGTTATTTTTATAGCTACAAATATTTAAGTAAATGGTCTGTTTATAATAAACAGTATCAACAACATTTACCGGCCTGAATGTCCGAGATGTTTAAAAAAAAATATGTTTCCTCTGACAGGAATTGAACCTGTATCCTACACAGAACCATCATATAGCTTGATGTGCTATGCCTGTTTAGCTACAGAGGAAGCATCTAGTTAGCAAGGTTAGCAAACCAGACACTTCCTCTGTAGCTAAATGGTATGGCACATCAGGCTATATGACTGTTTTGTGTAGGATACAGGTTCGATTCCTGTCAGAGGAAAACATATTTTCTTTGAAACATTTCGGACATTCAGAAATATGTATAAACAAAAAATATATTACAATAATTGTTGGACTTAGTTCATTTATATATATATATATATATATATATATATATATATATATATATATATATATATATAATATATATATATATAAAAAATATAGTTTTAAGGTATTCTATATTTATGGGTAAAAGTGCTCTATATTAGAGATAGAGCATATATAAATATAAAAGTGGACACTGAAGACAACACCAATTGGAAACATGACCCTGTTTCATGCCTCATATATATATACTTTATTATTACAAAGAACAATTAGTAATAATTAATCTATTAAAAATTATTTATTTTTAAAGCAAGACAAGTTAAAAGAAGAATATAGTCATGCTATTTACTTTGTTTGGACTGTTGTCCTCAACTTTATTGCAATATTCACAACGTTTCGGCCATTGTACATTCTGGCCTTCTTCAGGTTATATTAGTTGGAATTTTGAACCGAACCTTTTATTTAGTCCACAGGAGGTTCATTGTTCTAATTCCATGCCATGCCTTTGAATCCCTCGGCTGTGGGCAAGTATTGAACTTACAGCACTCTTGCTCAAGTCACTTTTGGATCACTCAACCAACACTTTTATCCATTGTGTCTTTTGGTTCAAAATTCCAACTAATATCCCCTGAAGAAGGCCAGTGTGTAAAATGGCCGAAATGTTGTGAATATGACAATAAAGATAAGGATAACAGTTTGAACAATGTAAATAGCGTAAATAGTTACAACACCTCATCTCAGAAATATAGACAGATGTTGAAGGATATATTCATTCCAATTGCATATCAATTTGAATTTTTTATCTGTTATCTTTATTATCATATTGATAATATTTTCTTCATTATCAAACAATTCATAGTGTCAATTAATAACATTATCATTCATGTGACTAATATTAAAGTAATCTATATGATGAAACAATGACGCTTATCCCCAATAAACCTAAGAGTCTGGTGACATTATTATGATTACAATATGATAGCAATAAATTTAAGTATGCATTGCCTGCATAAAGATGCTTTTATTATTTTAATGCATTTGTTTGTCTTTTTGAGCTTAAAAATCAAAAAAAAAAAAGGTTTAGGGTGATTGATTATGCCAATGTCAAACAATTCTTGTTTATTTTGAATATGTTTGATGTTTGAAATCCTGAGTAAAAATTTAGACCCGAAACAGATCCCAACTAACTTAGTGTTTAATAACTGTGTTAATATGAAGAACTACAGACCCAAATAGTAAGTTGTTCTCTAGTGGTGTTTTGTGCTGTACTATATTTGAAACTATATATATATATATATATATATATATATATATATATATATGTGTGTGTGTGTGTATTTAGGCAGCAAATTCTCTTGTAAGCATGTCTGATTAAATAAATTACAAGCATTATGTTAGGATAATCTTTTCATATTCACAAATATTTTTCTGTTTATTGCATCATTTGATTGTAATACACGGAAAAATATTCATGAATATGAAAGGATTATGTTAAAAATAAGCAGACATAATGTTTGTAATTTATTTAATCAGATATATATGCATGTAATGAACCTCAGCGCATTTCAAACTCAGCTCTCTGATTTCTCCATCTGAGCTGCTAATCATTAAACCACATGTACATCTTTAGTTTAAATATAAATTTTATTCAGTGGCACGATTGTGTTCACTTTGTCAGTTGTGGTTTCCATGGAAATAGATGAGAAGCATTACTTTTGAAGTGTACTTCATATATGACCATTTCTTTCTTTTCTTATTAAAATTGATTTTTGCCCCCTAATATGCCATTGTAGGAAACATTAGGTAAGTTAAAAAAAGGAAATTGATATATAAATAAGAACAAATTAAATAAATCTATAACTGCCCTTTTTGTGGATAAGCTAAAAATAAGTGTATTTTTTACATTAAAATTTTTTAAGAGTAAGTGTATTTTTTTAAGTAAGTGCATTTTTTAAAATTCAGTTATACAGAAAATCAAGTAACTTATGTTGATTAATTTACTAAAAAAAATATGCTTCAGTTGAGAGGAAAAAATTTATACATAATGATGCTCTTGTTTCACCCTTGTTAAAAATGTTACTTGTTTCCTTTTTCAGATTTGGGGCAGTGTAGATGTTGCAGTTTTGGAACTTTTTCCTATTTATAATGAATAAAGGGGGAATTTACTGAGGAAAGATAAGATTATCTCAGAAGAAATACTGCCAAAAAAGGGATAAGAAAAAAAAAATTATCATTTGATTGTCTACATTGAAAATGCTAATTCATAAGAAATTTTTCCCTGAAGAATCTAGAATTAAATTGAATATTCCATTTCTTTTAATCACGTTTTACTGGCTCTTTCACTTTTTAAAATTCTGGTATATAAAAATAAGTAAATTGTATTTTTTTTTTGAAAAATATAATTAAAAAAAATTCTTTTCATTAAAAAAAAATTTTGTGGTCACTTTTTCGTTCTTCATAAATAATAAAAAATAATAATAGTATATGCGGACTAGTCATCTTAGGATGTTCATATAATTTTTATAGAAATATCATAATACTTATGAATAATAATAATAATAATAATAATAATAATGATGTTGATTATAATGTTGTTAATAATATTGTATAAAAAGACTATAAATAAGAAATGTCAATATTACATATTTTTTGAATGGTGGAAAGAAATATTTCATTTGTGGATATTTTATTAATAATTAAATATTTCCTCTTACCGTAGTATGATAAAAAACATCTGTAGACACGTAAATACCAAATATTTAGAATAGTGACATTATTATTTATAATAATAATAATCATCATAATCTTCAACGGAATACAATTCTTTCCAAAATTAGCTTCTGCATCATTCTTTCTATTCTTTCTTTTAGTTTCTTTTTGAAACATTCACTTCAAAAACGAAAGTTCTTAAAAATGTAAAAAAAAAAATTATAGAAAGTAATTAACGCTTCATACTTTTTTGTTTCACTTGAATTGTTTCTTTTTCTTGAAGAATTGTTTCTTTTTCTTGAAGAATTGTTTCTCTGATGTCAGACATTTTCAATATATATATATATATATATATATATATATGTTCTACATTCCATATATGTGTGAATATATATATATATATATATATATATATATATATATATATGGAGGAGATTTCGATCCAAAGAGTTGAACATCTTGGTGTTCACGAAATAAATTTATAATTGCAATGGATAATTAAAGTCTCCATCTTATTATCATCATAATGCTCTGTAGTCTACATTGAGCTCTTCCTGGATTTATATCCTCCTTAGAATTGTCCCTTCCAGTCCCAAACTGGTAAGACATACATATACATATATATATATATATATATATATATATATATATATATATATATATATATATATGAATGTGGCATCATATAATTTGCTGCTTTATAATAACTTTGTTATTTTTGGAGTGTTTCCTTTCAAACAATATTTTCTGAAGCAACAATTGTTGAGCATGTCAGAGGTGTGGAGGCACCATTCAGTCCCCTCCTCTCATTAGAATTCGATAGGCAGGCCGTACAATTGATGATCTCATCGAAGCTGTCGCCAAAGTCCTTGGATAATTTGGCACACACAACGGGGCCGATGGAAAAACTAAGCTGAGCAAGACACAGGAAATATGACATGATCCGGAGCCACATTTCTTGTTCAATTGGCTCTGTCTCCGGCCCCAGATTAAATAGGATGTGAAGGAACACAGCATGGTAGGGCAACTGGCACATGAAATATGCCATGACCAGCCCAAGGACAAGCTGTGACAGTCGACGCTTGTCCATTGGGATGCTGTCTTCAAAGAACCGTTTGGTGATATAATGAAGAATAACATATGTAACAAGTGTAATGCTCAGTGGAACAATGTAGCAGACTGAGATAGTGAGAATCATCATCATCCGGGCATCTAAATGAGGCTTGAAGACACAGCGTTCCAGATTCTGGTCAACTTTGTAAGCAAAGGCTAATGGGATGCCAGTGATGTAGATCAAGAGAAAGAGAAAGATAACAATGATTAGACCGTGCTTGCCTGTGATTTTTGCGTTGGGACGGTTAGTGAGGATCAGAGCATTTAGAATTGTCAGCACAACGAGATGGAAGGCGACAACAGCCAGGCTGCAGTAGGCCATGTAGTTGGTAATGTTGCACCAGAGGTTGCTGATGTTCCAATGTGTGTCTGTAAAGTTGACAATATTTTGTGGGATCTCAAAGATGATGTAAAGAATACTGGCCAATGCCAGTCCACCGATGACCACATGGTGGGTGATCCGCATGTTCTTGTACATGATCAGGCTGCGCAGGATGAGCAGGTTGCCCACGAAACCCACCAGACCGATCAATGTAATCAGTGTGTTGAGGATTAATTTATCTCTGTCGGGAAGCATTTTGGTATTTTCAGAGAATCAAAGATGGATCAGACCATTCTGCGGAAAAAGAAAAAAAGAAGTGACATTAGTTAATCATAATGAATTGTTATTGACAAATACATATTAAAATATACTAGCCAAATGCCCAATACAAGTTCACCCAATATAATGCCCAAGAGCTATTCAAGGTAGTGTGTTACTAAAGAAGTTCTAAAGGCATACACTTGGGTGGGGGCAAGAGGTACATATGAGATTATGTAGCTTATATAGCTGTGGCTTTACACATCTCTAAAACATTTGATAGTGTTTGTCCTGCCAGTCTTCTTTGTAAGCTTCAGGGATATGACATTATAGGATGATTATTTGACTTTATGCAATCATTCCTGTCAAACCGTGAAATGAAGAGGTTAGAACTATAGTGATTGGGGATGTATCCTCTCCTGGGAGAGGTCATTGAGTGTGAAAAAATCTGAGAATTTTTACTATTATGGGTGTATTATTAGGTCCCCCAGTGAAAATGCAGTATTTTGGTACTTTGGATGGAGAGGAATGTGTTCTTGGGGGTGTTTGTGTCAATTGTTAAAATGAATGGGTTGTGAATCAAAGATTGTTAACAGTATTTGAAAATAATTGTTCGAAAACAATTATTTGAAAACATTTATTCAAAAAACATTCATTCGAATTGTAAATTGTTTGAATGAAAATTAATCAAAAGGACAATTATACGAAATGATAATTACAACTGCAAATAAATACTTAACAAGAACAAAGAAGTAAAAGTCAACTAAAGATAATTAACCATTTCAGTGAATATCTTGTAAGTAGCACAGCTTGGCTTAATGTCTGTAAATCCTAAATCAAAACCCAATTCATCAATGCAAAATAATTCACACTAATTCGACTGGATAGTTCCACTCAATATTCATTCAATAATCACTGCAGTCAGTAGCCTGACACGGCTATTTATACACCTGGCAGAAAACATATATTCATAAGTCCTGAGTGTCATGCTCAAACCTCGGTGTCGGTAGTTACTCATTTTCTTCCTATATGACATTACTAGATTGGCATTTATGTCCCACTCATTTACTATTGAAATTTGATACAATGGCAAATGTTCCATTGATGGGTCATTTTTCATTTTTATGAGTTTCCTTGGTTGTTTAGGTTACGGTTTGAGGATAATAAACATATCAAGGTATCCCATAGAATGTTTTTGGTTAAGGTCAAAGATGACAGTAAAAGTAGCATTGCAAACCTTAATTGTCTACCGTTGATTTAATTATAATTCGTGGTAATAATAATTGTAATATCAGTCTATTGAGATGTACGGTGGCCGTTAATAATTAAGTATAACTGTCCAATGTTAAGATAAAACAGTTTTTAAATACAACCCCAAAATAAATTTTAATAAGAACAAATTTAAAAGTGGATTTAAAATATTCATTAATATATTTTTTGAATACTAAATAAAACCCAAATCATGTTCTGGTAATAATTTTTAAATACAGACTTGGATAGTTCTTGGCAAACATCAGTTCTAATCACTGCGACATTCCATACACTGGTATTTATACACCAGGTGGAAAACATATTTTTAAGTCCAAATTGCTGTAACATTACCTAGGTGTCTCCTCTCCCTCCTTTTCTTCTCATGAGCAGGAATCAAAGAGGATTGGTGGACATGGTTGGGTGAAACCATACTGCAAGTCGGAGAGCCTCTTTATGTTAATGGTTGGACTCAAAATCTCAGTAACCTCTGGTCCCATACCAGGAAGGTTGATCAAAGCCAATGTTGGCCTTTGTCAAGGTCCCATAACAGATGTTTCCAGACTGATCCTTGAAGCATCATTTTTCAACTAATCCTTGTCAGAAGGGTCACCAGAGTTCAGTTCTCCAAAGAGGATGATATGTAGGAGATGAGTGTGTGACATATTCAAAACATCTGACTTGCTCAGCAGAAGTTGTGTTGAAAGATGACAGGAGCCTCTATGCTAGGGAGAGATGTCTGGGAACAATGACCTATCCCGTTGATGATGATGTAGACCTCCCAACTGATGGAAGATGATTTTTTGACCATCATTTGCTGGAATTATTCTGGATGTTTGATGTCTCAATGATAAAAAAGATCCGGACCTCACCAGATGAATACAGTTGAATTGGATGGAACCATGGTGCAGAAGACCATGATTTGGTTTTGGAGGTGAGGCCAAATGATTGCCGAAAGACCCAATTTTGAGAGTGTTCTGTGCACAACCAGCCAAATTTGATCCAAACTCAATGTCTTTACAGGTTTTTTGGAGATGATACTGCGAAGATTCTTTTCAAAAAGAGTAACAACAACTTCTATTGGCAGTCCATTGATGTTGATGCTGACCTCATTAATGACATGTTTTTTAATCTCTGGACGTTAATAGACATTTTGTTCACTGTTGTATTGAGAACCAATATAGATGAAATTTTCACATACAGGTTGTGGTACTCTTCATGAGAACAAATTCAGCTTTTATCCAGGATGAAAGTCTGCCATCAAATTTTTATCAGATGTCAAAGACAGTGCTGTCAAGGGATCTTGTTGAAAGAAATGGCAGTGATATACAGGAAGAAGTTTGTCATAACTAAAGATGCCTTTTAGGACACCGTTGATTGGGGATGGGTCTGAAGGAGATCTCAACAGTTCACCTGGCACTGTTCTATAGTTTAGACACAAAGGGAACCAGACAGCCAAAGAGGGCAGAGTGACCGACATTGATGAGTCTTAGGATGAAGGTAAAACAGAAATCCCAGATAATCATCAGTGAGTTTTGCTTATTGAAATTTATCCTGGAACTGTCACACAGAAAAGACTATGTCAAGTTCCTCTTGAAGGCAGAAACCACATTGAGATTCTGGAAGGATCTCTTCTGCCACATGGAGGGGTGATATCAGCAGTATTCACAAAAGATCTTGCCAGCGATGCTTAGGAGGAAATGCCATAAAAGGTCCCCCTTTTTGAAGATTGTCTAAATGTTGGCATTTTTAAAGACCTTAGAGAAAATTTATCTTCCAAGATTTTAAATATCAAATTGCATTAGTCTGTTAGTCTGCTTTTCATTTCTAGTCTACCATGGGAACAAAAACTCCAGAGGTACAATATCAGGTCCAGAGGTTTTCCAGGTTTCATGAAGCAATGTGTTTCTTTCAATTGACAGAAGGTTGTGGGGAGTAACATCCAATGATTTTCAGGGAATTAGATGTTTCACATGGTGGCATGGTCATGACAAGGCCTGAGGTGGTTCTTCCAGTGGCCCAAATGATTATGGTTCAGTGTTTCCTGTTATAATTTAGTCATGGCAAAATATAAATGAATTTTTATTACAAACATTTGGATCGAAAAAAATTGTGGTTCTATCCTGGTTAAAAAATAAAATAAAATAAAAGAAAAAGATTTTGTTGGTCTAAAAGAATTGTTGGTCTGAGTTATTGCTGACTCTGCCTATTTTAACCATGTTTTTATGGATTGCAAAACACAGTTGTCTTTGGCAGTTTTTCTATTTGCCTTCTGATAGATTTGCCTACTTTTACTAACTGAGAGAAGGTTCTCAAAAGACAGGCATGCTTCTCATTTTTTGATTAATCAATATAGTCAATTTCTTTTTTGTCAAACCAGTCTTGATTTTTCTTTTCTGAAAAAATAAAATACTTCTTCAGCTGTATGAATATCATTGATTTTGCAAGGTTATCCATTTTCTTCTGATAGTTTCCTTTTTTGTTGATTCCTTAAGTATATTTACAAAGGATAGTTGAAAGAGTTTTTTTATTTGGGGGTCTGGTGCTCCACATACTTAAAGCACCAGTGAGGCCTGCCTAAATTGTGGTGGTCTTTCCAGAATAATCCAATGATTTATGATGGAATGGGTACTATAATTATGCCATGGACCCAGGATCGAATGAGGACATACTTCAAGATGTGCCAGTGCTTGGATCTTGGGTGCTGCCATGTTTTGAAGTTCGGGAGTCAGAACAGGGTGTTGGTTACATCTCAGGTTATATTTTGCACAGAGACACATCCAAGCAGATGTATCTTTATTCTTACAGTTGCCAATACCAAGGCAACAAAGAATGCCCTTCCATGTATGATGATCATAAGAACAACTCTGGCATCAAATGGCCAAAAACCACAAAAATTATCTGATGCTGGAATTTTTTGGATTACTGAGTTCAAAAGGTCAGAGGACTCTTTGATGGCATCATCAGAACAAGGGTAGGTGCATAGATGGAGGTGAAAGTCAAGAAAAATGCATGAGTGGGATTTGGAGGGTCATCAAGCTTATGCTGATGATAATGGGTATGATATTGTCCTCCTCCATGAGTTTTGTCTTTACAGCAAAGTTGACCCCATGAATAATTTGCTCACCTGCTTCTTTTTTCCCTTTCCAAAAGATTGTATAGTTGGATTCAAATTTCTGGTATTTACTTCTTTGGCAAGTTTGGTCTTTAACAACGCAGCCATGTTGATTTCAAAATGGTAAGCTATTTTAGACACACAAATTGTTATTCTGTTTTCAAACTGCCACCGAAGGCTCAATGGGGGATTGAACAGATGAGATCTTGCAAACCTGGTTTTATCAGGCTATTGGATGCTGGGCCTGTTATTAGAATTGGATTCTGAATCCACCTGGTGCTGCTCTCTTCTGCCTAAACCAAGTCATTGAGATCATGTAAATCATTGCCTATCCTGCTGGGGGCCTTCAGGTGTTGACATGTTCAGTCTGGTCCCTCCTCCTAATCTTACAAATGAGTGGCTCTATAGTAGTTGAAACTTTATGACAGCTTTGTCTTGGGATCACTAAGAAATATGAAAAGGAACAACTATATATATATTTTAAATTAGATGTCAGAATTACCTCCACAAATACACTATATATATATATGTATTTTCAAAAAAAAATTAAATATAAGTATACTATATATAAATATTATTTTTGTGTCTTTGCTTATATTATTGTATATGATTTAATTCAACTTAAAAAGTAAGA